TTAATTTTAAATACTATTCTTCAGCAGAAAATTATTAAATTTATTTTTTAGGAAGAAGAAGCAATGCTAAGTGAAATGGAAGTGACAGGTCAAGCATTTGAAGATATGCAAGAACAAAACTCTAGATTAATTCAACAATTACGTGAAAAAGACGATGCAAATTTTAAATTAATGACTGAACGCATAAAGTCTAATCAATTACATAAAATAGCTCGTGAAGAAACTGATACTCTTAAAGAATTGGTTAGTTTCAACTTATTTTCATTGAATATATATAAAATAATAAAGTTTTGTGATTGATAATTTAGATTAAAACTTTAACGAATCAAGTAGAGATGACAAACACGGTAGTTCGTAAACTAGAAGAAAAAGAGCGTATATTGCAAAATTCTTTAGCAACAGTTGAAAAAGAATGTTCAATTAGACAACAGGCTATGGAAATGCACAAACGAAAAGCAATTGAAAGTGCTCAGTCTGCTGCTGATTTAAAATTACATCTTGGTATTTAATTATTTTATTTGAACTTATATTATGATGTATAGTGACACTATATCTTTTTTAATATTTATTAATTATTTCAAAGACAAATATCATGCACAAATGAAAGAAGCACAACAAGTAGTTACGGAAAAAACCAGTGCTCTTGAGGCTGAAGCATACAAAACCAAACGGCTCCAGGTAAAAGTCATACTAATAATTAGAAATATCTTCACTTTTTGTTTCTTTCTTACAAACACACTGAATACAAAATTTTATAATCAGAATACTTCAATTATTTCGGTTATCTTTAATGTTTAAGAAAATTGGTGTATTATTATTTATTAGATTTAAAGGTAAGAATATTATCTAAAGCTTATCATATATTCTATATAGTTGTTTTATATTTTAATATTTAACCAGTTTATGACCATTTTAAATTACTTAAAAATTAAAATTCCTGTATATGTCTATGTGATAATATTTTTACCTTAAAATCTTATTGTAGATCAATTTGTATAAAGAATAAATTATATTGGGGGACGGAGTGGCCGAGTGGATAACGCGTCGGTCGCAACGCGCACCGTCGCCGGTTCGAATCTCGGTCACGGGTGGCACTTCTCTCCGGGCAGTCACGGTGTCTGGAGAGAGAGGCCGCCATCCCCCAACCGGGTATGGCAGAAACCTACGGGTGCCCACTAGAAATTCTGCCAAACAAACACACACGTGTTCCATAACCCTACAGTAACCCAACAGTCCCAAAAACCCTACAGTACCACAACCTACAGCTAATGGCCTCAGTTGCCGAAGCTTAAATTAAAAAAAAAAAAAAAAAAAAATAAATTATATTCATATTATTATTTAATATTAAGAATAACATAGTTAAATTAATTATTCTGAATATAAATTTAACTTAGTTATGCTTTAGTAAAATTGAAACAAGACTTATGTTTTATATGTTATAGATGTTGTTTATATAGATCTTATCTAAATTAATTGTAACAATTCTCATCTTAAACAAATTTTTATAACTTTTGGGTATTGTATTTTATTTTTTTAAATGATTCATAATTAAAGCACTTTGTTCTATTTTTTTAAATCTTTTAAGCAACTTCTAATTTATTTTATAGATATCGCTAGTAGGTACTGTAAAGCTTAATTTTGTTCTAAAACATTACAGGAAGAAATAGTACAATTACGACGGAAAACTGAACGTATGAAAAAAATTGAGCAAGCTGGCACATTAGATGAAGTTATGGTGGAAGAAATTAGGGAGTATAAAGAAACACTTACCTGTCCATCATGCAAAGTTAAACGAAAAGATGCTGTACTGACCAAATGTTTTCATGTTTTTTGTTGGGATTGTTTACGTACTCGTTATGAGACAAGACAAAGAAAATGTCCTAAATGCAATGCAACATTTGGAGCTAATGATTACCATAGGCTTTATCTTGGATCATAATTATACTGAGATCTATTAGTAAGGTTTGTAACCCAACGTTTAGGTATCTTGTAACCTAATTGTTTTGCAGTCCTATTTTTATAATTATATTTTGATGATTGTTCCAAGATTTGTCTAGATTATTTTAATGCGACATTATTCCTAATCGAATGGTTTTCGAATACATACATTTATTTTATTATATTTAGGAAACTAGAATCTAATGTTTATTTTGAACTCTAAAAATGTATTATTAAATGTGTTGCAGTTAAATATAACGGGTCCTTAAAATTTTAAAATAATAATTTTTTTTTTAATAATTTCTATTATACTTAATAGTTTTTTTCTTCTTATGATTGCCAACATTAATATAGTTTTTATTATACATAACCTTATTGTGAAAATCATTCAAACACAATAAAAATTATTAAATCTTATCATAAAACTGTGTACTGACATTTTGTAAATTATTGATCATATGTAATAATTTGTTTCTAAACAAAAAGACTGAAATGAATTAATATTTTATGTGATTAACACTTTGATATGACATTACTGACATTACATTACCAATTGAAATGAACAAATTGTTGTAATTTTGTAAATTGGAACAGTACCTTAGCTTATGCAGAGATTAGTATTATTTGTATAGTAATGAACTCAAATTGTATAAATCAAAAAATCTAACAATGTTATAAATTATTTTTCCAAGTTGTTTAGCAAGTAATAAAATATTTTAATTAATTGCCAGTGTATATCTAGATAATATTGAAACGTTTACATTATAACAATAATTTGTTTAGATTTTAAACTTTATTCTACTTCAACAGACCTTTTAAATCTGTAATGTTAGCAAATAATTAGTTTGTATTTTATTTGTAAGTAAGAAGTGGGCACCATATTGTAGTATGTAAATAAGTTTGCTTAATTATTTTTAGATTATATAATATATAGATGATATTGTTTCATTGTTTATTACTGTTATTATTACCAAATATCTACAACTACATATTAATTTATTCATTAATCATTATTAAATTATTTTGCTCTTAGCTTCCTCTGATCGGCTTTAAATATATTCTATGTCATTTTGAGTGTACTATATTTTTCAATAGTTCATTTATTCAGTGACTCAATTTCAAGTAATGAATCGTCAGCAAAAGAATAATATTTGCAATTTTGCATATCTGTTGATTAATATTTTTGTACACATAATTCATAATTATATGAAAAATAAAAATATTTCTAATGATCTCAGTTTCCCCAAAAATGTTAACAGTTTTGGAAAATTGAAAATCATAACTGCATAACATAACTGGTATGGCAGTCAGTATTTTTTAATGTTAACCAATGAAAAATAGTTCTTTTAAGGTGGGATTAAATGTTTGGAAAATAAAATTTATTTTGTCTATGGTATTTTCCACTATGTGAAGATCTATTTGTTGACACAATGTTAGAAAGTTATCTAAATTTCTTATATTATTTAAAATTGATACATTTTTCAGTTATTCCTCAAAATTGCATATACCAAAACTTTTTAACTAAGTGTCTGATGATATGCATTTCTGTCATTAGATGTCTACTACAAATTACGATACATACAATTATCATTTTGAATTAATATGAAAACTAATTACTAGACTACTTCAACCATCAGTACAAGAAATCTTGATAATATTTTACTATCATGAATATTGGGCTTTAATTATTTAAAATTAATAAATTCTATATCTTACAATACAAAAACGGTTCTGCTCAACTCAAATTTACTATGTTGTAAGACGTAGATCCAATATTAGGGGTGTGGCAATATTAAGGTGGTTACTAACAGATGGTTGAATTCTATAATATGCAGGATGATCCATGGAATACACTAATTATTTAAGAGTATGAATTTTTTTTTATTAAAAACTTAGATTTATGCTTTTTTGAAACTATAATGTTTTAGTTTTTTTCACCATTATATATATTGATGAAACCACTATCAACTTTTGATTTTCAAATGGGAACATATAGTAAAAAGGTAATAAATAGGTAAAAAAAATTTTTTTAATAAATTTTTGCATTTTTTTTTTGTTTTTTGGTTTGTGAGGTACAGTTCTTCAAAGTTTAGTGGTTTAAGGTGTTATAGTTGTTAGCGCTACAAATATCCAGTAATCCAAATAACCAGTTTTATACTTATTATTTGTTGTAATCCGGTATGTCTAATTATTCGATAGACTATTAAATGATATGCATTCGAAGTACAATAGTTATCACTTATTAATTGTTACCATGGTTTGAATCTTGAATGGTATTGGATTCATCACTTATAGCTCCTAGGCTTTACAAATGAATAAATAGTATAATCAATACTTCCTTAAACCACCAAACTTTGAAGAGCTGTATCTCTCAAAGTAACAAAAAATTAAAATGTTAATGCTAATATTCATAAATAAAATGGTTTTATTAATTTAAGAGTTTAAGACCTTTTTATTATACGTTCCCATTTGAAAATCCAAAGTTTTGATTTCACAGACACATATATGGGTGAAAAAAATTTAAATATTATACAGTTTTAGAAAAGTATAAATCGAAGTTCTAAGAAAAAAATACATTTGAAAGGAGTTAATATTTTTTTGAGATAATTATTGTACCCTCTTAAACAGATCACTCTGAGGACCTGACCGCCTGAGACAAAGATTCTATTTAATCAAAAAGAAAAGATGAAAACTTATTTTAGGAGAATATGATTAGTTTAAAGGGAGAATTGATAAATTTTATTAAACAAATAAAAAATATTAAAGTATTACTTGTTTGACGTAAATCAGCACATTTATTATTTAATTTTACTTATGATACAAATTAAAAAAAGTAAAAATGACAAGTTTTTTGTATTAAAAATTATTCAATCAGTCAAATATAATAATAATATAGATATTAGTATATTACAAGCTGAATACACTAATATATTATATTATATTTGTTAAAGTACATTTTACAATTTTTGCATTAAGCTAAATAATATAAACAGATTGTTTTATACGGAAATTGAATTTTGCTGACCAATTCAATCCTTGATTTCTAAATATTATTGACTTAATTTGAATATGGCATTTTATCTGATGTGAGTTGGTTTCTTATTGTTGATACATTACACCAAATTATTGTTCAATGACTGAAAGGTTTTTTTTTTTTAACTGAAAGAAAAACAAAAATTAATTCAAGTCAGTTTAATTTCAGTCAATAAAAATATATTGCGTTTTTTATAGGTTAGTAATCTCTGACTTAAACTTGCATAATTTTAATGAGATTGAGCTTTGACAAAATTTTTTAAGAATAACTGGCTTATACTTTATTAATAAGTCCGGATTTCAATGCAAAGTGCATATTTTTTTGGTTGATCATATACAATGCTTTCTAAATACATAATTTGTTCCATGTAACGAGGGTTTGAAAGCTACAAATTATATTTTGCATTTTTTTGCATATTTCGACGTTTTTTTCTTTTTTAGAGCATTTTTAGCATTATTGGGTCATTTTGTTGGTTTTCAATGCATATTTGTTCAAAATAGATATAAAACTTGGACTATTCAAAAAATTATCTAAAGATAAATTATTATCTTGATATTTAAGAAGGGTTATCAGGTTTTTCCATACACATTGTCATTTTTTTTTTCGATTTAGTTTTTATCTTATCTTAATTTATTATTGACTGTAGATGTTTAGAATGAATAATATTTCCCCTAAAACGGCCAAAACATGTATGTCAACATCTTGTCAGTCAATATTTAAAATTTTCAGTTTTTTTCTAATAAAATAATTATTATGTCTCATTTAGGTATAATTTACAATTTGTATATAAAAAAAAAGGCATTTTTAAGGTCATTTTTGTGGTAAATTGTATTTTTTAAGGGCATTTTTAAGGTCATTTTTGTGGTAAAATGCTTTTTTTAAGGCATTTTTGGCTATTTCTTAGAGCATATCTGTATGGTTTTAAGTGCATTTAAATCCAGGCCCTATTCATTAATAATCAATAGTCGGGTTAAATATTTATTCAAAATTTAACTTCGTACTTTGAGTTTACACGCTCACAACAAAATGTAAATATCATTAGATAGTTGAATTTATGAGTATACAATATAACCTATATTTACGAGCCAATCTCAAATTTATCTAAATAACAGGCAATTTGTTTAGCAGAATCAAAACATTATCAAGCTTACTATACAATGTAAGTTAACAGAGACGAGTTCGCTGTGATGTATATCTATTGATGAATAACTATGACTAAATGTTTATTTCTTTTTATAAACATTCTAAGTATTTATAAAAAAATGTTAAAAGTTATTTCTTAACATCCTAATTATATTTTAAAAATCACTACATTTTGTCTGAATTATAATTTGTAAATTGAAGTTATTGAGTAAAAAGTTAAACAAAATATTTAACATAAATGAGGTTGATATAAAAATCCAAAACTTTTTACATTTATTATTAAAAGAGAGTTACAAAATAACTAATATACTTATTTACGGTAACGCATTGGTGCCGGTCTCCTCATAAAACGTTCTGGAGGAGTTATGCAAACATCTAAATAATCACCAATAGTAAATCTGTAACATAATTATCAATCTGTTAATAGAGTATGAGAGTATAACCAATGCAGTGATGTAGCCAGTGGGTGGGTGAGGGTGGTTAACCCCCTCTACTTCTGTGGCTTTTTTTCTCCTAATAAATGCATCATTTATACATAAAAACTTAGTTTAATTTATACTTAATCAACCCCCTCCTTCATAATACTGGCTACACCACTGAACCTATGTATTTATTATATAAAAAATTATGAAATATACATTTAATTATAATTTTTAGACATGGTTTGAGCTATATCTTGTCTAGAATTAATTAAAATGACTAAATAAGAGTTAGTTAATATTTTATTAACTTATTTTTTAATTTTATTCTTTACCAACCACCTCAGTCGTTGTATGATAGCTATAGTCTATACTACGGAGAAAAATGAGTCTACTGATTGTAGTTATTATATTACTTTCTTAAGGCCTAAGATATATAGGGTTGAGGACAAGGCAGGTACTCAACTAAAAAATACGATTAATTTATACTATAACACCTAAATAATGTTGTTTCAATTGCCTTAGTTAATCTATTAAAAATAAGTAAGCGGTATATTATGTCTATAGTATGAATTTAGGTGTTATACAGTGGCATACCTAACATTTTTTCAATTGAGGGGGGGGGCTATATAAAGTAAAACTGAATTTGATATCTGTTACATTATATTAGGTCGTTATTATTATATCCAGTAACCTTAACATCCTCTACAAATAATTGATAATATGTAAAATATTTCTTTAAAACCGTTTTCAGAAATATAATGGTCTGTACTTTGCTTTTTATTATAAAAAAGTCAATACCATAGCATGTCCAATTGGAGCGGGGAGGCTAAGCCTCTTTAGCATTTCCTGGGTACACCGCCGGTGTTAAATAAAATGTATATTTTAAAGTAAGAGTTTTCAAGCTACAGCCCATGGAAAAGTTTATACAAGCATGCAAACTGCGGCAAATAATCCAAAAATAAACTTTTCATTGCAACTAATAACATAAATGTGATAATAAACTCTTTGGCTTTCAAATTTAAAGGTTGTGTAGTTGATTATTTCAAGACCCATTTTGAGTGTTTTAAAAATATATGTTTACTATAACTTCATATACCTTGTGTTTCCTAATGTTTTCGAATCATCTGGAGATCGATTTCCAGCAACAGTAAGGCCTATTTCAAATGCATTGAATCTTGGGCAATTATATTCTGGTGATACTAGAACAAAATCAAATGTTGTTCCACGGACTCGAGACTCAATGTTAACCTCTTTAATCAGGCCAGTCAGTTCACGTAGCGTAGCATCCATCCTGCAAACAAATACAAATTAATGGTGCTTTACGCTTGGTTGGATGACATAAATAGCTTTTGCAAGTAAAGAGATATTCGTGACAGAGCCCTGTGGAGGTGTAAGACAAGGGTGGCTGACCACTTATACTTGGGAGAGAAGAAAAGTAATTACTCTAGCCCCTAGGCAATATGTACCATGTATATATTTGAAGTTCATTCCCAGGCACAGCACCTCGATAGTATTCCGATAAGTTATTGTGATGTCCCATTGCACAGAATACCCTTAATAATAATGGGCAAGTCTGAAATTATAAAATATTTATATGTATTGAAAATCAATATTATTCCAAGTATTAATATTTACTTTTTCTCTGTTAACAGGTTTTTCTTCGACTTTTACAAGTGATTCAACTGCAGCCATTTCTAATTTGTTAAGAGTTCACTTTATGAATTAAAATGTCAATAAATGTTTATTAGAAATTCACAAAAAAACATTTAAGCCACAACAGTTGCAGTTCTTGCACTTAGGAAATGAATATAATTATAATATAACCCTTCAATGATGTCGACAGGAGTCAGGATAGCATATTCAGATTTCAGAAACCTTATCTAATAATTAGTAAAATAGCACCTAATACCTAAAAGAATTACAAAAATCAAACATTCAATCATGGTCTTGGATTATTCAAACAAACAATTTTAAATACAGTGTTGCTTTTTTCTCAAAAATAAATATCTTAACCAAACTTTTTTGGAACATTATGTCTTCTAGGGCCCCGGGGGGGGGGGCTGGGACAGATTTACCGATTTTGATAACAGGGAAAATATTTTGATGATATCTCGACATACCATAACTCGTACCAGAATATACCAGAGATCCAGCAGAGACACCACCGTCCAATAAGAAATAATTTACAGTGATGCCATGTTAGCGGCACTCGTCGTTACACTCCTCGGCGCAAAAACATTTTTGTCGTCAGTCATGACTCATGACTAATATTGTTTTATTAAAAAAGAACGTGCACTATTTCCATTAGTCATTGTCCAGCAGTCACTGGATAAATATATCAAAATTATTCCAAATATTATTTATTTATGCTAAATTATATACAATATATTATAGTCTAATATATAATATATTATATTTTATACATTATACACTATATCTACAAGTACTGAAATACTTAATTTTGCTAGAAAACATTTATTTTATTTTTTGTTTTTATTTTTAAGTAATAATTAGCGCAAAAAATATAAATATCTATAACATCTGTAAAAACTAAATATTTTAACTATAAAATATTAGTCCAAAATATGTTTAAGCAACTTAAAAAACTTATTTGAAGCATTATTATACCTACTTTAATCTAGGATTTCCACATAAAGTTTTTCGAAAAGAAGAAATTCAAAAGATGATAAATGCCACATCGAACTGCAAAATTCATTAAAAAAAAAAAGTTATAAAAATATAGGATAGAATTAAAATTAAAAAATAAAAATGTGTAGGGGGCCTGGGCGCCTGAGGGCAAATGAATTTTAAGAATCAAAATAAAAAAATGAATCAAAAAATGTACATTTAAAACAAATATTAAAGACTGCCGTCTACAGTATCAGTAGTCCTAAACTCCTAGCTTTTTTTTCAATAGTTAGAAAATGAAACAATGAACTTGAGTTAAAAAATTGAAAAAAAATTTGAAGGGAGGCATGGGTGCCCACAGGCAAATGAATTGTAAGAATCAAAAAATAAAAAAAATTATAAAAAAATATTATAGAATGTAAATTTAAAAATGAAAATGGGAAGGGGGCATGGGCGCCCGCAGGCAAATGAATTTTAAGAATCAAATAAAAAAAATGTATGAAAGAATGTACATTAAGGGGAATCGATACCGTCATTTTCTGTTTTTGTTTAACACACTCGTGACATAGTGATTTAGACGTGTTTTTTGCCAAATATACCAATTGATCTAATGAAGCAATAAGAATTCTAAAAACAGATTTGAATTTGTCGTCAAGTCTACTTGAAATCGACTTTCCCACATTTATGATTTTTAGATTTCAACTTCTCCGAAAATTGAAATACAAAAATTTTTAAATGCTCTTTTTTAATATGACATTTTTGGGAATTTGGGGGATAATATCAAAAATGAGGGAAAGTGGATTTTAAGTAGACTTAACGACAAATTTAAATCTGTTTTCAGATTTATTATCGCTTCATTAGATCAATTAGTATGTTTGGCAAAAAACACGTCTAAATTACTATGTCACGCATGTGTAAGACAAAAACAGAAAATGACGGTATCGAATCCCCTTAAGAACAAATGTTCAAGACTGCAGTCTTCAATATTAGAATTCATAAACTCAAAGCTTTA